ATGCCAAATATACTGAATATACAATGGGGAAGAGATGTGCAGTAACGTATGTATATCTCTAGGTATCTGTATATGTTATATATTTCCATGATACAGATACAATACACATAAATAGCTTCAAGAACATAGGTAATATTTCATGTAATAAAATAATCAGGCAGCTTTGAGTACCTTGTTTAGCATAATTTATTTAATTGTAGGGTTTTATTTTTTTATTTTTTGCAACAGTATCATTCAGCCACCCTGGGTAGAGTGCCGTGGTGTCAGCCTAGCTCACAGCAACCTCTAAGTCCAGGGCTCAAGCAATCCTCCTGCCTCAGCCTCCCAAGTAGCTGGGTCTATAGGCATGCGCCACCATGCCCGGCTAATTTTTTGTTGTTGTTTCTATTTTTAGTTTCCCTGCTAATTGTTTCTATTTTTAGTAGAGATGGGGTCTCGCTCTTGTTCAGGCTGGTCTCCAAGTCCTGACCTCAAGTGATCCTCCCGCCTTGGCCTCCCAGAGTGCTAGGATTACAAGCGTGAGCCACTGCATCCGGCCTAATTGTAGGTTTATATACTTTAATCTTTAATGATGGCAATATTTAACAACCAGCTCACAAATTCCTGAAAATTAGAACAATCAGCTCTGAGAGCTGGTTTGTAGGGGCTTCAGCCACCATCAGAACACACCCATGCCACCAGCCCCAAGTGAAACAGGCCATTGCCAATCCCCAGGGAGCCTCCTGCCCCTTCCAGTCACAGCCAACCCCAGGAGTAACCACCATCCTGACCTCACGGGGGTCCTGCTGAAGCGAATGAATTTTGTTTGGGGACATTCTAAATGTGATTTGTATGTTTGTAATGTTCTTAAACACCATAGCAACAAGCAAAAAACAACCATCACAAGCAATGAACATTTACAATTCATTAAAAAGATATTTAAATTATATATTTTTTGGTTTTAATTCTATTTTTCAGAATGACTTGCTTCTCTTATAATCTAGTTTTCTTTTTCTATTTTTTGTCGCCTTTTTTATTTTTTAAAATTTTATTCATTTATTTATTTATTTATTTATTTTGACTGGTGCAGCAACCAGGTGGCCTGGGAGCTGCACCTTGTCACCCTTTTTGAAAGTTTTTTTGTTCATCTTCATCTTCCAACGTGAATCCCCCGTCTATGTTTGTGATCTCTGTTTTTCATTGGTGACTATGTACATTAGCTATTGGTCAGTCTCATAGCACAACCTTTGTGCAAGAAATGGATGCCCAGACCCAAGGAGTCACTGAGACTCTGTGAGGAAAGGAATACCACCTGGTGCCGAGCTCTTCCTCCCAGCCCATGGATGTCACTGTTCCTCCTCTATATGTACATTTCAAAATAAGTGTCACTAGCAGAAAACCGTGGCCATTTTGTACTGGTCACATTTTAATCTCTGCTCAGTTTTTCTGTCAACTGTAACACATGATCAATTTCATTGGCTCTGAGCTCTTCATTTGCATGTGAAACGGTTTGTTCATCTTTGAAAGTCCTTAACTCCGCGTGGAGTACTTCAATAGCCTGTGAAACCATTCTCTGGATCCCAGTGATATCCCTGTCAATTATTTGCACATATTATCTGTGACAGATAATTGCACTTGATATTTTGTTACTAAGCTTTGCTTCTTTTCTAGTTCTTTCTGTAATCTTGTCATTTCTTCTCAGAAATCATTGTTCACGAACACACTGGAAAACATACTTTAAAATCTAGATGGCCTTTGCGACATGGACATGAGTCCGTCGTCTCAGGATACCAGCTCTTGAATAAATCTGCTTTTTCTTTCACCAATTCCTCATCTCTCACGTTTGGCATTTGAGCAGCAGGCAGCCAAGCCTGCTTCCGGTTACATGTCTGGCAAAGCAAGTTTAGATGCATCAAGATTATGGAACTTAACATAATACATACATTTTCTTATCCCAAATATAAAAAAAAAAAATTACCCATAAGAAATGCTATACCTTAACTCTGTTCTTATCTGATTATAATCGCTAGTCTATTTACTGTTAACATGGGGAGTGAGATGATGCGAAGTATCAAAGATAAACTGCAGTAGTAGAACGTGAACATCCAGGTGAAGTTATTATGTAACTAGATAAGATTTAAAAAATCTTACTGATTAAGGGCCTTAAGGGAGAACACCATCCCCTCTTTCTTAACTATGGAATAATGAAGTACTTAAGCTTTTATAAAAAAGTATATGCTAAAACCAGGCTTATGCCTAAGTGAGTATTCCTTGGTTTCTAGAAGAACTGCATAAATACAATGTCAATGTAGGGAAAGCAGTGGGCAGTAGAGATGGTGGGAACATTGGCACTTCAGGGGGATAGCAATGAATGTACCTCTCAAACAAGCTATGCAAATTATAAAATGTAAGTCACGGTTCCATTTGTCTTGTGAAAACGTAAAAGTATCCAGTTTTTCATGTAGACAAAATTTTAAAACAAAAGAAAACTATGGACACTACTAAGCATCTCAGTAAAGTGATAATGAATCTGGCATTGTTCCACAGTTGGTATTTTCCCATTTCCCCATGTGGACTTATTTGCTCTTGTCAACAGCTGCACAGATTTGCAAGGCTTGGTGCACACAATTTTTTTGTTATTGTCCTCCTTTAGTGGTCTTATTTTTTAACTGTTGTCAGTTGTGTGTACCTATGTGAGTTGTTTGTTTTGGAACTGTGATTATTTTGAAACATAGTCAAAACAAAAGTCTGTTATTGTGTTTAAAATACGAAATGTGCTGATAATTCATTGTAAAATTGAGGAACGATGCCAATGATGCTAATGTGCAATAGAGGGCTTTATCATCACTAATAATTCATCAGAATTCCTCTGTTGGCCAGAGAATGATTCAGCTTCCACTTGGGATCCTGCATATAGTTTGAAGTTCATGAAATTATATGATAGACAATATCAACGAAAATTTACCTACAGATGACAAAACATCTTAGGTAAATTTCAAAGCTTTAGGGAAACTGTTTTGGGGGTTGGAATATAGATTTCAAAGAATACAATATCCTGTTATTTATACTTATTGTTCTGCCCCACTTAAAAAAAAAAGTCATGAAGAATTTCTTATGGAAAATTGCTTCAAAAATTTTGAGGAAACATTGAATATTTTAGAAATCGTGAAACAGTTGAAGTATATTTTAAAACATTGCAACTCAAGAGTGCATATTGATTTTTGTGGTAAAACCATTGCTATTAGGTTACCTTCACTCATTCAAGACAAGTTGAAAAGAGTAAAATATACTTGACATCCTTTGGTGAAAATAATTCATTTTTCTTGGAAAACACCATTTACTTTTTTTTTTGAGACAGAGTCTCACTCTGTTGCCCAGGCTAGAGTGCTGTGGCATCAGCCTAGCTCACAGCAACCTCAAACTCCTGGACTCAAGCAATCCTCCTGCGTCAGCCTCCCGAGTAGCTGAGACTACAGGCATGTGCCACCATGCCTGGCTAATTTGTTTTTTTATATGTATATTTTTTTAGTTGTCCAGCTAATTTCTTTCTATTTTTAGTAGAGACAGGGTCTTGCTCTTACTCAGGCTGGTCTCGAACTCCTGAGCTCAAGTGATCCTCCCTCCTCAACCTCCCAGAGTGCTAGGATTACAGGCGCAAGCCACTGCCCCCGGCCCCAACACGATTTACTTTTAAGAATTTATTTCATCTGTGTATAAAAGTGGTTTTTAGTGTACATGAATTGATTTCTACAAATACACAAATTCATAGTCATTGAAATGATAAAGACAGGATAGTTGCAGGATGTCATAAATAAGATTATTTTCCTCAGCTTATTCAATACAATTTTACAAGACTGATAGTACAAAGAAAAAACAACTACTGGCTTATGCAAGATAACCACAGAAAATATTAAAAGCTGCTTTTTTTTTGAGAGATTACAAAATGTTTTCTTATTATGTAGTCTAGTTGATACGTCAGTGATACAAGATAGGTAGAGCAAGTATTTAGCATCACATTATTTTATTTATTTTTATTTACTTTAAATTCATTTTATTTGATTTGATTTGATTTTGAGACAGGGTCTTGCTCTGCAGGCTGGAGTGCAGTGGTGTGATCATAACTCACTACAGCCTCAAACTTGTAGGCTCAAGTGATCCTCCTGCTTCAGCCTCCCGAGTAGCTGGGACTACAAGCACATAACACCATACCTAGCTAATTTTTTTATTTTTGTTTTTTTTTAATTTTTTGTTGAGACAGGGTCTCATTATGTTGCCCAGGCTGGTCTCAAACTCCTGACCTCAAATGATCCCCCTGCCTCAGCCTCCCAATGTGCTAGGATTACAGACATGAGCCACCACACCTGGCCTCCTTTTATTTTTAATAAACAAGTAATAATTGTACAGATTTACGGGGTACAGAGTGATATTTTGATACATGTATACAATGTGTAATGACTAAATCAAGGTAATTAGGATATCTATCACCTCAAACATTTATCATTTCTTCGTGTTGTGAACATTCAAAATTCTCTTCTAGCTTTTTGAGCATATACACCAAGTCACTGTTAACCATATTCACCTTATAATGCTAAAGAGGATCAGAAGTTATTCCTCCCACACATCTGCAATTTTGTATCCTTTTACCAACCTTTCCCTATCCTTCCCCCTCCCCTAGCCTTCCTAGCCATTAATAACCACAATGCTGCTTGCTACTCATTGAGCTCAAATTTTTTTTTTAGCTTCCATATATGAGTGAGAACATGCGGGGTTTATCTTTCTGTGCCTGGCTTATTTCACTTAACACTATCCTCCAGGCTCATCCATGTTGCCAAGAATGACGGGATTTCACTCTTCTTTATGGCTGAATGGTATTCCATTGTGTATATATATCACATTTTCTTTATTCATTCGTCTGTTGATGAACACTTGGTTGATTTCATGTCTTGGGTATTGTGAAAAATGCTGCAGTAAACATGGCAGTGCAGATGTCTCTTTGATACACTGACTTCCTTTCCCCAAAGACTACTTTTAAAGAGAATTTCATTGATGATGAAGGCATGGCCAAGACCAGCTCTCCACGACTATAGAATTATTTGCAGAAAATTGAGTCAGCATGAATAAAATGCAAGATTATGCCTGTGATACTGCTGCTAACATGAGTGAAAAGTTAACAGAGTGTTACCATCAAGTGTAGGTAAGTGAAGCCAAGATCATTTCCCTGTGTGCTCATGGCATGCTCATCCTCTAAATTATTCATCATATGAGGTCTGGAAGGAAATCAAAGAACATTAAGTTTTTTGGTGTTCTTGAAATTATTCTTAAACCTCAATAGTTTCAACTTTTTGTATTCTACCTCTTATGTATCTGTGAAAATACTGGCAATATAAAATCATTTATAAATGTAGTTGAAAGTATAATACCCTGGGACATATGTAATTCTTTTTAGATCTATAGAATTGTTCATTATAGTTCATTATCATTAGTGGGGAATTTCTAGAGGTTATTGAGAGACCCCTAAGCTTTTGCAACTGGCTTTTTAATTGCCCAGGTAACTAGTGAATTGAACAGTTTGCTGGAATTAATTTCCAAGTTTGACTTTCTGCTTGCTTAAATTGTTTTTATCGCATGGTAGGTAAGTATGTGGTTGAGTAACACACAGTTGTCACTGTGCCATTTTAAAATTTCTAAAATAGTTTACCATTTGATGAAAATTAAATAAAATATATTCTATCATTTTTAACGCAAATAATTGCCTCTGCTTTTGTTGGGTCTAACATAAATTAGAAAATATTGGAGGGGGGAGAAATACAGTATGAGCAAATTTTTATGCCCTTTGGTCTTTCACTGCTAATGCAATCAGATACTGAATCTTTTGATGAGGCAAGATTCTGCCAATGGGAACCTGAGGCCAAGAAAGCTGAAAAGACACCTGATATCTCTACATCCTAAAATATATCTCAGACAGTGTGGATTAATGAGAAGAATCCCATTTTGGAAAGACTAGAATCTTGCCAAATGGATTCATGCCAAATCAAGAGAATTATTCTGAAGCATCTCACAAGATTGCTTATCCAATTTACTAAGCCAGACAATCTCCATCTGATTGAAGAGACCTTGGTGAGGCCACCTGTCTTGAAATTGGTCTACTTGAGGGCTTAATGCTGAGGCAGAATATTTTAACTGATGTCACCCACTCCAAAATGTGTAAATATTCCTATCTTATATTTTGAAGCAGATCTTTGAATAACTGAAAGTGAGGCTGGACGTAGTGGCTCATGCCTGTAATCCTAGCACTCTGGGAGGCCAAGGTGGGAGGATCGCTTGAGGTCAGGAGTTCGAGACCAACCTGAGCAAGAGCAAGACCCCATCTCTACTAAAAATAGAAAGAAATTAATTGGACAACTAAAAATATATAGAAAAAATTATCTGGGCATGGTGGCGCATGCCTGTAGTCCCAGCTACTTGGGAGGCTGAGGCAGGAGGATTGCTTGAGCCCAGGAGTTTGAGGTTGCTGTGAGCTAGGCTGACGCCACAGCACTCACTCTAGCCCAGGCAACAGAGTGAGACTCTGTCTCAAAAAAAAAAAAAAAAAAAAAAAAAAAAGAAAGTGATACCCTTTCTCTTTGGCACAGAAAAGAACAAAACTACTAACATTTCTCTATGACCTTGTAAGCTTTGTGCATTATTTGCATATCACCCAATCCCTCAAAGAAAACCAAACATGTTTTCTGGGCCTATTTTGGAAAATATAGATACCACTAACTTCTTCAAAACTGCAAGAAGTTTTTGCCAAGTAAACTTTGACAGAAAGAAAACTCCCAGCTCATGTTCTGCAAGGCACGGCAGCCCATCATGTTGCATTGTCTCGTAGAAGAAAGCAGCTCTACAAGTCAGCCAGCATGCATGGGTGCCAAAGACCCTGTCAACAGCCTTGTCTATTGCTGTGAATATCTTCAACTTCCTCCCAGCCGGGGCCTTGAATCACCATCTTTTCAAGAGGTTTTGTCAAATAATACTAGCAGAACATCATCAACCATACAGAATAAGACAGGTGATGAAGTGCTTATTGACCGTGAAGCTGAAGTTTGTGTGTGTACTTAAGAGAAAAAGAAAAGGAAAGCCAATTCTCCAAACAATTCTATAATACCAGGAGGAGTTTGCTCACGGGTTGGTTTGTTAGGCATAGAGTTTTGGTCATGCTGAATGAGGTCAATCTTTCAGTTCAGGTCCTGGCATCACCAATGTATTTGTGCTGGGAAAAAAAAGAAAAACAAAACCAAAGAACTACAAGTTCTTTTGGCCAAATCTATATTTTTGGAAGAATAACTTGGAGGGACAACATTTTAAACTTTTCATCATGGAAGCAAATTCTTCTACAGGCTTGAATTGAGAATGATGAAGAAGCTTTCTAGATTTCTCTGCTGTCAGGAGACTGTAGCGACCTGAAAATTCTCAGAATCCTTTGGAGTGTTATTTCTGCTCAGTCTTCAAGTGGAAAGTGAAACTGTAATCCTTTCCTCATTGACAGTAGTCATGAGGTTGATCCTGCCAAAGATGACTTCATTGACTTGAAAACAAAGGAAATGAAGTAACAGGAATTTAACTCAAAGAGGATCCTGGTGTTCTTGACCTAGCCCATCCATAACTTGTCTCCAGAGCACTGATTCCATTCGCTAACAGACTGTAGTGAGTCAGAGTTTCAACATTCATTTCCATAAAAGCAAAAGTTAAAGTCAGTATGATGATAATAATGATATTTGTCTTAATTAAAAAAAAAAAACCACACAACTTATTAAACTAAAAAGGCAGCATTGTTTTTCTTCCAATTACTTTTGAGCAGAATTAAAAGTTGCCTTTTGTTGTATTTTGCTTTATGTGCACAAGTTTTATTTATTGTTATTTTAATTAATAATTTATTTATTTTAATTTATTAATATTTAAGTTCATTTTAATTTTTATTTGTTATAATTTAAAAGAAGTGATCACTAGCTTTTGCCTGAAAAACCCAAATTATAAAGGCATAATTTTTTTGTAATTCCCTAAGAGAAGGAAAAATATTAACAAGGCAACAAAATGAATTGTATGCAATGTTATACGTCTGTCTTTATGTGCATATTTCTGGGAGTGAAGTCCATTGCTTTCTTTAGACTCTCAGAGTGGTCCGTAAGTCAAGAAGTTTTTTTGAACCATAAACACAATTAGAAATTACATCTCAGTTTTCAGAATCTAAATAAGAATCAGGATTGATTTTTTTGGAGATCTTTGGGTGGGAACTCATGTACCCGTCGAGATCTACATTGCTGGGCTTCAAACATTACTCCATTCCTCTCCTAGCATCTAGATTTCAGTATATTTGGTTTTTGTTTTTATCAATGATTAGAGAACTTAAGTCAATTTTGTTTAGATGATCTTAGGGTTCTTTCATCTTTTTTTATTTGAATGGGTAACATTAAGGATAAGTTTTCGTTTTTTGTTTTGTTTTTGATTGCCTGGGCTAGAGTGCTGTGGCATCAGCCTAGCTCACAGCAACCTCAAACTCCTGGGCTCAGGCAATCCTCTGCTTCAGCCTCCCAAGTAGCTGAGACTACAGGCATGCACCACCATGCCCGGCTAATTTTTTCTATATTTTTTAGTTGTCCAGCTAATTTTCTTTCTATGTTTAGTAGAGACAGGGTCTTGCTCTTGCTCTGGCTGGTCTCAAACTCCTGAGCTCAAACAAGAGGCTGTAAACCTCAGCCTCCCAGGATGCTAGGATTACATGTATGAGCCACCATACCCGGCCAAGAAGAAGTTTTGAATGAAAGCAATAGACGTATAAGATGTCCAGCTCTATTTATTTTCTGGCGTATTTTTAATGAAGAGTAAAAGGCAGCGATAGAAACTTCCAAATAAGTATTTGCAAGGCTTATTCTTTGTACAGGCAATGATCAAATGTTCCTACTTAAATACAACTGAAGCAAGCTCAATAAAAAATTACTTCTTTGATTCATCTATTGAAAAAAACTTTATTGTGCAAAACAGTCTTTCATACATGAACGCACCACCACCCACATACCATCAATAGGGCATGTGCTTTGAGGTATTATTTTAATAGTAGGAGAGACTATTTACTGCTGATCTAACAAGAGCTATCAGTCCATGATCTACATGACAGAATTTATCCCTGACTTAGAACAGGAAAACCAACTGGCCCACATAAATATTCATCTGTGATCATAGTCTCATTAGCATAGCCCTGTCCACCTGAAAGAATTGGAAACTGCTATTTGTGATGATAATATTTAATTTTTTTGCATTCTCTAATTTCCTTAGCTCTCTGTCCCCAGCCGTCCATCCTGGACACCACTTTTTATAAGACTGCATTTCACAGACATATCACTTCCAACAAGGTAGATTTTAAGGCACCTTCTATCTTGTGGTTCTGCTACCTTCTAGGGCCTGGGACACCTCCACTGAACTGTTTGCATCAGGTGGCAAGTGACAAGTTTTAGGGACCAAGCCTAAAGTTGCATACTATTCTACTGGACTACATACATTCTTTTGGGCAGAACACAGTCACACGGCTCCACCTGAATGCAAAGGGACAAGAAAACATGACATACAAGTGTGCTACGGAAGACCAAGCATAGGTAGTGAGAATGGCTTGCCATTCTCTTCCAAAGTCCATGCTTCTGGTAACTAAATACCTGTTTCATTCTTCCCTCCACACATAGAATACCACCCCTTCCCCTTGCAAAGATGAACAAGGCAAAGTCTCAGCCAGTTACTACATCCAGCTCTACTGCAGGATCTGCAAGGTGATGTGTTAATGTGCAGTCCTCTCGCTCAGGTCTGAATGAGGGTCCTTGTGTGCAAAGGCAGCACTCGCACCACCCTGAGAGTGAGCAGCTCCTTAAATTTTGCATCCTAGCTGTCTCACTTGCCTCATTCTGGTACTACCCAACCCACCTGCCGCACATGCTAATAAAAAATGGTGGAACACAGAATTGCTGTATTCATCACTCACATTTGGAAGAGAAAATAGAACACACATAGCAGCCACTAGGAATTTTGATGTTCTCCAGGTGTTCATAGCCTTGATTAGGCCCTAATTCTTCTTTATGGGAGGAACTTTAAATTATTGTTTTCTATGGCCCCTGGATCCACCCTCTGGCATAGTTTTTGTTGTATGTCATGCTCCTTGGCTACTACTGACCGGTGTATTTGGAAGGATGCCATACTTGGGAGCAAGATTAGGGGCTCAAAGCTTGAACAGTCAAAAGCTATTTTAATTTGGGTTCCTGGATTCAAAAACTTTGTAGTTTTCTTCCAGCTAGTTCCATGTGCCAGTAACCACACCCAAAGTTCCTTCCTAGGCATGGTTTTCAAGCCTGCCTTATTTTCTTTTGTTCTCTTCTGCCCTACTCCTCCCCCATGCCTCTTTCAATTTAATGGTGGCTACCTTCAAACTATCATACCTGGCTTGGAAGGCCACACCTTTAAACTGAATTTTCTTTTTTTCTTTTTGAGATAGAGTCTTGGTATGTCACCCCAGCTAGAGTGCATCGTGGGCTCAAGCAATCCTCCTACCTCAGCCACCCAAGTAGCTGGGATTACAGGTGCGTACCACCACACCCGGGTAATTTTTCCATTTTTTTGTAGAGATGAGATCTCACTTTTGCTCAGGCTGGTCTTGAACTCCTGAACTCAAGTACTAGTAATACTCCTGCCTCAGTTTCCCAGAGTGCTAGGTTTACAGACATGAGCCACTGCACCGAGACTTAATCTGATCTTTGGTGCAAGGCTGAGTCACTTTGTTCAACTGAGAAATTTTTGTGGGACTTCATTACTCAAAGCCTTGTTTGTTCTCATATCTTCCAGTTCAGAGTCTAAAAATAGTTGAGTTTTCCAGCACTGCACAACACTGAATTTCTGGACTTTCTTTATTTCTTTTTACTTTTGCTTACAAATTGGCCAATTTCTTTCTGTGCCCATGTCTTTCTTGTAATAGCCTGTCTTATGCAGCCAATAACAACCAACACACACTACTTGTGTTGTTTTCTAATTTCTTTCTACAGAGCTACAAGTACAATAGGTGTTAGGCAGGGACCAAATCTGCAGGTGGCAGATACAGGCCAGGAGGGCAGTTTCTAACAGCAGAGAAGCCAGGGAAGGGATGGCAGGAAAACGCAGCTCACAACCGCAAAGAGCAGGAACTTGAGGTTTGAGGCACACACACCTATGGAGCTGCAACTTTGTTATAAGAACACCTGTCAATTATGTATATTAATCACCTGGGAATAGCCCACGCCCCTCATAAGCCCGCCCCTGGACCAGGCCAATAATAGGGAACCACCTGGGAGTCCTCAACATGGAGAAAGACTCATTCCTCTCTGGAAAGTGCCCTCACTTGGTATAGCTCCCTTCGTTTCTACAATAAAAGATACTTGTGTGGAATTGTGTTCACTCCATCGCACCAGCCGTGCTTGTGAATTTTCCAAGCAAGAAGCCAAAGAACCAGGACAACCATCTGCCAAGAGGCTGGACCTGACATAGGCATAGGTGACAATTTTACCAGATTTTTTGCCACTGTAATACGTGGATCTCTAGCCATCCACCCACTATATCTGTTTCCTTGCTGCCTACCGTGTGATGCCACACATTTTAGCGGGATTTGTTTTGTTTTGTTTTGTTTTGTTTTGTTAACAGCATTTTCAGTACTAACTCCTGTATTAGTTGGGATGAGAAATTCTGGCTACGGTTACAAACAACCCCAAAACCTCAGTGACGGCCTCACGGTCTGGTGCAGGTCTGTGGAGGTGCTTTGTACCACGCAGTTGCTCAGGGACTGGTGGTCTAGCTGGGCCTCCAACATCTTCTAGGGCTTCAGACTCTGTCCCGGAATCCCTTGCATTTGGGGACATATGAGAGAGAAAGTGTGAAGTATTTTACAAGTAATTTTAAAGACCATACCTGAATGCAGCGTATGGCCCTTTTGTCTACATTCTGTTGGCCAGAATTCGTTCCTGGGGCCCAATGCAAGAGTAACAGAGTAAATATTCCATAAGTGTTTACTGAATGAAAACCTGGTGCTTTCACCAGTGCTTGCTAAGGTGTGTGGCTCTTTGTCCTCCCATTACAGGTCTGTGGAAATCAGATTTATTGGTATTCCTTTCTATCTTTTATAGATTTCTGTCTCCTCCTTCCTTGGCAGGTTGACAATCATCACTTCCTGTTGCTGTTCATGTGCCAGTCTGCAAGGCCACTCTAGAGTTCTAAAATGCATAGAAATTGGAAACCAGGTAACAAACTTACTACAATTTCTGTGTAGTGGTAGTAAAAGAAAACATGAGCTGTGAATTAGAACCCAATGGATATACTTGACTCTGTTGGGGGGAAAATGCATGGGTTTTTATAACATCTATAGGCATACCTTGGAGATATTGCAGGTTTGGTTCCAGACCAGTGCAATAAAGTGAATATTGCAATAAAGCAAGTCACACAGATGTTTTGGGTTCTGGCCGGGCACAGTTGCTCATGCCTGTAATCCTAGCACTCTGCAATGCTGAGGCGGCAGGAATGGTTGAGGTCAGGAGTTCGAGACCAGCCTCAGTAAGAGTGAGACCCCAGTTCTACAAAAAATAGGAAAATTAGCTGTATGTGGTGGCGCATGCCTGTAGTCCTAGCTACTCGGGAAGCTGAGGCAGGAGGATCACTGGAGCCCAGGAGTTTGCGGTTGCTGTGAGCTAGGCTGACGCCACGGCTCTCTCTTTGCGACCTTCCTTTAGATCTCACGTTGCTGCAACTGTTGGGCTGCAGTCTGAAACCAGAGGTTCTTGGCGCACTCGTGGGTGAAGAGTGACCACACACGCCAAAGCTAGGCAAGCACAAAAATGAGGTTTATGGAGGAGAGAAGCCTGGATTATAGGGGAAGAGCAAGATACAGGTTACAATAAACCTCAATAAACCTCATTTTCATGCTTGCCTAACTTTGGTGTATCTGGTCATTCTTCAGCCATGAGTGCGCCAGTAACACATTTCAGACTGAAACCTGACAGGTACGCTTTGTGGTGCCCTGAAATAATGACAGTCGTAACCTAAAAGATCACTGATCACAGATCACCATAACACATACCGGTACAATAATGATGAAAAAGTTTGTAGTGTTGTGAGAGTTACCCAAATGTGACACAGACACACAGTGAGCACATGCTGTTGAAAAATGTCGCCGATAGACTTGCTTATCTCAGGGTGGCCACAAACCTTCAATTTGTAAAAAATACAATATCTGTGAGGTACAATAAAGCAAAACACGATAAAATAAGGTGTGCTTGTGTTAATATTTTATTTTGTCATGGATATGTGAACTACAATAAAATCTTAAGGCTCCCCCAACCAGCTGACTGAACGGACCCCCTCTTGGCCAAGGGGATATCCTAAAACTAAATTGCATGCCTTGGGGAGGGAGGTCAGAAATGCCCCATCATGCCCCCCTCTCTTCCTAGAGATACACTTCGTAACTGCTTAACAGGCCTAAGGCTATGCAAGACAAACCTGCAGGTCCTCAATTTGCACAACAAATATGTCTGGTAACTTGTCTCTTATCTACAGACTTAACTTATCTTAACACTCCAAGCCTTTAGACAAAAGCTTCAAGTCTTTCTTTTTTTTTGAGACAGAGTCTCACTTTGTTGCTCAGTGAGTGCCATGGCATCAGCCTAGCTCACAGCAACCTCAAATTCCTGGGCTCAAGCAATCCTCCTGCCTCAGCCTCCCAAGTAGCTGGGACTACAGGCATGAGCCACCATGCCCGGCTAATTTTTTCTATATATATTAGTTGTCCTTAATTTCTTTCTATTTATAGTAGAGACGGGTCTCGCTCTTGTTCAGGCTGGTTTCGAACTCCTGACCTCGAGCAATACCGCCCGCCTCAGCCTCCCAGAGTGCTAGGATTACAGGCGTGAGCCACCGCACCCGGCCAAAGCTTCAAGTCTTTAACTAATTATAAGTCAAAGAGTCTTTAAACCCACCTGTAACCTATTAGGCAATCCCCTTCCACATGGCCACTTTTTGGGGCCAAGCCAATGTATGCCTTCCACGTATTGATTTATGACTTTACCTCTAACCCATGTCTCCCTGAAATGTATAAAACCAAACTGTAATCCAGCTACAATGAGTCCCCTTGCTCAAGGTTTCTTGAGCGTGGCTGTGGGTCATGGTCCTCAAATTTGGCTCAGAATGAATCTTTTAAAATTATTTCAGAGTTTGACTGTTTTCCTGTTGATAGACATGTGTGGTTACATTTGTTTCTTAGCTGTGTTCCTGAGCAGCTGCACGTTGCTGAGCCTGGAGAAGTGAGAGGTTGGAAATAGGTAAAATTTTATTTAAAAGCAGAGGGTCTCAGCAAGTGGTTTTTGATTTTGATAAATTTCAGAGACAGTTACTTAGTTCTTAGTTCCTGGGTGTCATGGCAAGTGGTTACCCTAAAATTATGACCCCTTTAATGTTGGGTTTTTGGGTGGGTTAGCACATATATGCTTATAGCTGACCCAAACTTTAGAATAAATCTCCCCATCTTCATGGATTTATCTCTCCAATTTTGGGTGGAGGGGGGGGGACTAAGAGAAGGGTAGATCATTCACTACAATCTCTGCTAGATTCAGGGAGACTGGAGCTTCCTATAGTTTGATCTGGCTCCCTGGCAAACTGGATATGATTTGCTTTGACATTTATATTTCCCCTGCCAAAGGCATACTGTTTGCCTGCACTTGTGATCTCTTTGCCATTTATTCTATATTTATTCCACAGACTCCAAGGCAGAGTTAATCATTCTTGGAGCCTGAACCGAACATGAAGCCTCCTGGTGCCTCTGATCACATTTATTCAGAGCTACTAGAGAAGAGACGTCCTTATGGGCCCTGCTCTTACAGATCGGTGTTCCGGGGTGAGCAGGTCTATGCAAACCTACCCCCAAAGTCCAAGGAAGCTGAGAGGTCAAAGAAAGAGGCTGTCAAATCCAGTTCTTCAGAAAGAAATATTTAATAGGGATTATGAACAGAAGCCACGTCTTGGGCAGCTGCGAGATGAGATGGTGGATCCCCACACTGTTACCCCCCAGACCCGGGGCTCACATATGCCACAGGGAAGGAGTGTGTAGGACAATTGTCGTCAACTCCTCAGGGAAAGGCAAGAATGTGTCTATGGGCAGGATTTAGGGTAAGTACGTGATTATGGTAACATCAAAGTTGTTTTGACCTAAGGGCAGGATTTAAAGTAAGTAGTGAAAGTGGAAATATTAATATTAGAGGCATTCCCAGAACTGGGATTAATCAGAAGTTAACATAGCATAGGCCAGGTGTGGTGGCTCATGCCTGTAATCCCACCATTCTGTAAGGCTGAGGTGGGAGAATTGCTTGAGATAAGGAGTTCAAGACCAGCCTGAGCAAGAACAAAACCCCATCTCTACCAAAAATATTAATAGAAAAAAATTAGCTGAGTGTGGTGTGCACCTGTAGTCCCAGCTACTCAGGAGGCTGAGGTAGGAGGATCACTTGAGCTCAGGAGTTTGAGGTTGTGGTGAGCTGTGATGATGCCACTGCACTCTATCTGGGACAACTGAGTGAGACTGTCTCAAAAAAAACCAGCAAAAAACAAGAAGTTAACTTGGTGGATTGGCATCCAAGAATGGATTGGCATCCAAGATGGAGTTGCTTTATCTTCCACAACAGGTATAGTATAGTCCATCAAATGGAAAAATCCTAAACATACTTATGAAGGCAGCATGTGAAGGTAAATCAGGGGTCAGGGTGGTAGACAGCATTATAAATTTTTATTATTGTTAATCTCTGTGACAGAGATTGTTATCAGCCCTAATATTTATTCTTCCTTTCTTTTTCAGTACTAGAACATGGACATATGGCCACTTGGAATAAGCTATACCTTTCCTAGCCATCCTTGCAACTAGCTGTGTCCCTGTGACTTAGTTGAGGCTGGTGGGAGGGGGTGTTCATGATTTCTAGGAAGCATGACCATGGGGAAAGTGTGTGTGTGTTTCTCTCTGAAACACGATGTGAAAGCCATATGTTGACGATGGAAGAGCAAGACATTGGAAGGAGCCTGGGTCTCTGATAAATCCAGAGCTCCCATACTAGTTCTGGACTGCCCTTCTAGATTTGCACGTAAGAGAGAAATAAATTGCTATCTTGTTCAAGCCACTGTCACTGTGATCTTTCTGTCATGTGCAGCCAAGTCCAGTTCTAACTGATAAAGTCCTCCATCTTTGGAATGACTATTCTGGATCAGACAGAAAGTAATATTTTCTCTTTCTGTTTCTTTTCTTTCTTCTTTTTTTTCCTTGCTCTGTCACCTTCGGAAGACTGCAGTGGTGTCATCACAGCTCACTGCAACCTCAAACTCCTGGGACAAGTGACCCTTCTGCCTCAGCCCCCCGAGTACCTAGGACTACAGGTGTGCACCATGACGCCTGGATAATTTTTCTATTTTTAGTAGAGATGGGGGTCTCACTCTTGCTCAAGCTGGTTCTTTTTCTTTCTAACACTGAGTCTGAATGCCCAGAGAATGGATTGGAATGGGGAGGTTAGGCCTTTCAATGCAATCCATGACCTATTACTGGCTGAGATCTATTTAACACTTTGCCTTTAAGGGTAAAATTTCTCTTTCTTTTTTTTAAAGCACGAAAATGAAGTTTATTGAGGAGAGAAACATAGGATTACAGAGCAAGAGCAAGATACAGGTTTACAGAGTGAGAGCAAGATACATTCACCACAGACAACGAAAGGACCCCTCGTGATGACAAAATGGCCAAAGGTGAAATTTCTTCTCTTACCACTTAGCAATGAATTTTGACAAAAGTGAGTTCTATTTGAAGAGTGTCCTGGAAACTCCAGTAGATATTCTCCAATTATCTGTGTTGACAAAGATTGAGAATATATATGTATATATATATATATATATATATATATACATATATATATATATGATTAAAATATCATCAAAATTGAAGTTTGGGCCAGTGCAGTGGCTCATGCCTGTAATCCTAGCACTCTGGGAGGCCAAGGTGGGAAGATCACTTGAGGTCAGGAGTTCGAGACTAGCCTGAGCAAGAGCGAGACCCTGTCTCTACTAAAAATAGAAAAATTAGCCAGATGCAGTGGTACACGCCTGGAGTTCCAGCTACTTGGGAGGCTGAGGCAGGAGGATTGCTTGAGCCCAGGAGTTTGAGGTTGCTGTGAGCTAGGCTGATGCCACGGCACTCTATCCCAGGTAACAAAGCGAGATTCCACCTCAAAAACAAAAACAAAAATTGAAGTTTATTATAAAATTCTCACTACCTAAAAAAGTAGGAACTACAGATCCCAGTGGAGGGATATGAGTTTGGCTGTCTGAGCCAGAGATGAGTGTAGATTCTGGGGATCGTCAGTGAAGACATAAAACATGACAGCTGAAGTTGTGGAGGCAAAGCTTCAGACATGGGTGACTCACTGTGCAATACAAGGTCAACCACTCAGGTTTTTCTCTGACTGACACCTGGTAATTGTCCCTCATTTTGAGTAGTCAACCAAAAACTTCAAGCTGGATGAATGGCTGCAGGAGGTTCCTGGCCCCCAGTTACTGGGAATGCCACCCAACAGAATAGTTAGCTCAAATGATTTGGACACCTTCGTGAATCCCATGGGTTTGGTTCTCTCTGGTTTGACTAAGACTGTGGGATGTGTCCATTTTTCAAAATGGCTAACTAGGGACTTATGCTTCTGGGAAGATGGAATAGATATATTTTCCCTAGTTGTCCCACTAGGTACAACTAAAACTCTGAATATTATATAAAAGCAAACATGAGAAATTCTGAAGAGCTGGAGAGGAGCCAGGCCAGCGAGGGGCAGTGAGTCCCAGGGAACAGCATGGTGGTGAGTTACCCGGATTTTCTTTTTGCCTGATGTATCTTGGATTTGGAGTTGAAGTAGGCAGTAGTCTAGAAATGCCAACAAGCTAAGGAAACAAAAGTTCCAACAAAAATGTGCTTTCTCCAGCCAAAGGACCTGAAAAGGGGCAGCCTAGCAAGAACAAAAAACTTTTCATTGAAAATGAATCTACTGTAGCCAAACACCACAGAAGAAACTGTGGCCCCCACCCCTGCCAATGCCAGCAAAGGTTGAGGGGGGAGCCCAGATGTCTACTCTTATGAGGCTATAATGTAAATGGTGAATGTACAACATGCTGCCAGGGTGGTGTGAGAGAGGGCAGAATAGGGGCCAAGAATTTCATCCCCAGTATGAGGTAATGAGCCTCCCTTTTCTTTATGGAATCAGTGAAGACCCCACGAAGAGCCTGGGCTTCTACCCCCTCCTTCCAGTAATGAGGCATCCCTTTTCTTCCCATTAGAGTGGCATCAGAGGAGGCCTAGTGGAGAGTCAGGACTTTCACTACTGTTTAGCAGTAACAAGGTCACCCCCACCTTGTGGTGTCAGTGAAAGGCACATGGGGTGTAGTACGAGGCACTTTTACCTCCACCAGCTAGAGAGGTATCTGTGAGGGCCTTCAGGGAAGCTGGAACTCTCACCTCCTCCAAGCAGTAATGATGAGGACCCCTCTCCCATCAGGTGTCAACAGAGCCAAGTGGGAAATCTATATTTCCACCTCCATTTAGCAGTAATAAGGCAGCACCTCCCCTTTCCCTGCCAGAAAAATGGCAGAGAAATTCCACGTAAAACAGAAGGTTTTAATAATATCCCAAGTTTCACAACACCTTGCAATTCCAGGTTGAAATAAAACAAATTACTCATTATACCAAAACCATGAAGATCTCAAAATGAATGGAAAGGTAGTCAATAAATGCCAACACCAAGTGACAGGGATGTTAGAATGATCTCACAAAGATTTTAAAGAAACCATTTTAAAAATGCTTCAATAAACAATTAAGAACAAGTTTGAAATAAAGAAAAAGACTCAGCAAAGAAATAGTCTCAACAAAGAAGTGAAAGATATAAAGAAGAACCAAATGAAAATTTTAGAATTGAAAAATACAGTAACAAATTTAAAACTCAGTGGATGGTCTCAACAGCAGACCAGAAGGGACAGAGGAATAAATCAGTGAACTTGAAGATAGAACAATAGAAATTACCTAATCTGAACAGAGAGAAAATAGACTTAAACAGAGCCTCAGGGACTTGTGTGACTATAACAAAAGATCTAATATTTGTATCATTGTTTTCCTGGAAGAAGAAGAGAAAGAGGGCAATGATGAAAATTACTGGAAGAAATAATGGCTAAAATTTCCCAAATTTGGCAAAAGACATAAATCTATAGATTCAAGAAGTTGAGTAAGCTTCAAACAGAATAAAACCAAACAAAATTCAGGCCATCATACATCATAATCAAATTGCTAAAAACTAAAGACAAAGAAAATATCTTGAAAGCAACAAGAGAAGAATAACACCTTACCTATAGGGGGACAAAAATCAATCTTAATGACAATGAACTTTTCATCAGAAATCATGATGTCCAGAAGGAAGTGGCATAACATTTTCAAGTGCTGAAAGAAAAGAATTGTCAATCCAGAATCTTATACATGGTGAAGATATCCTTCAGGAAAGAAGAAATCAAGGCATTCTCAGATGAAGGAAAACTAAGAATATCTGTTACCAGCAGACGTATTTTAAATGAATGACTAAAGGAAATTCTTGAAAAGGAAAGGAAATGATAAAAGAAGGAATCTTGGAATATCAGAGAAGAAGGAAGTATATGGTAAACAAAAATATGAGAAAATATAATAGACTTTCCTTTTCTAAATTGTTTGATGATTGAAGCAGAAATTATAACACTGTTTGATATGATTCTAAATGTATGTATAGGAAATACTTAAGACAACTATAAATAGGGAAAGGTAAAGGGTCATAAAAGGGGGTAAGTTTTCTACATATCACTCAAATTGGCAAAATGAAAAAATGTGAGAAATTATGTATATATAATATGGAACAACTACTGAAAAGTTTGCAAAGAGATACACTAAAAAATACTGGAGATTAATCAAAATGGAATTCTAAGAAATATTTAATCCACAATAAGGTAGGAAAAAGAAAATAGAGAAATTAAGGAAAAAAACAGAAAGAAGAAACAGAAAACAAAAAATGGCAAACTTAAGTCCTAACATAAATATAAATGGTCTAAATACACCAATGGAAAGAAAGAGATTGGCAGATTGGATCTAAAAACAGGACCTAACTATATGTTGTCTATAAGAAACTCTCTTCAAATACAATGATAAAGATAGGTTGAAAGTAATAAGGTGGGGAAAAAAGTATCAAAAAGATTAATCAAAGGAAAACAGAGTGGCTATATATTAATATTCAATGAAGTAGACTTTAGAGCAAAGAAAATTACTGGAGACAGAGAAGGATATTATATAATTATAAAAGATTTAATTCACCAAGAATAGGCAGTAATCCTAAATGTGTTTGCACCAAAAATTGACCCAAAAAATATATGAAGCAAAAACTAATAGGACTGAAAAGAGAAATAGATAAATCTGCAATTATAGTTGGAGATTTTAATACCTCTCAATAATTGCTAGAACAAGTGGGAAGAAAATCAAAAGAAAGTAAGACAGCTTAACATCAATAAACAGGATCTAATTAAACTTTATAGAGCACTCTACCCAACAACAGCAGAATACACATTCTTTTCAAATACCCATGGGACATATACCAAGATAGATCATATCCTGGGCCAAAAAACAAACCTCAGATAATTTCAAACAATGGAAAGCATAGAATGTGTTCTCTGACAAGTGGAATCAAATTAGAAATCAATGGAAGAAAGATAACAGGTAAAACTCCAAACACTTGGAAAACTAAACAACACACTTCTAAATAATCTATGGATCAAAGAGAAAGTCTCAAGGGGAATTAAAAAATGCATTGACCTGAATGAAAATAAGATGACAGCCTATCAAAATTTGTAAGACACAGATAAAGCAGTACTGAGAGGCAAATCTAGAACACTAAATGTCAACACAGTATTCCTGGCAGCTAAAAAAAAAAAATACGGTAAATATAGAACACTAACTGCATCCATTAGAAAAGAGGAAAAGTCTCAAATGAAGCTCCTGCCTAACAAACCTGGGAAAGGAAGAACAAAATAAACTCAAGGCAGAGGAAGGAAATAATAAAGATAAGAACAGAAATCAATGAAATTGAAGACAGAAAAACAATGGAGAAATTCAATGAAACAAAGAGATGTTTCTTTGAAAAGATTAATAAAATGGACAAACCTCTAGCAAGAGAGAAAACACAAACTACCAATATTAGGAATGAAACAAGACCTATTACTACAGATGCTGCAGATGTCAAAAAGATTAAAAGAAAACTACAAATAATTCTACATGTACAGAATTGAAAATTTAGATGAAATGGACCCATTTTTTGAAAAATAGAAACTATCACAGTATAAAATAGGTAATATGAATAGCTTATAACTATTAAGGAAATTGAATTTTGTTTTTTTTGAGACAGAATCTCACTCTGTTGCCCTGGCTAGAGTGCTGTGGCATCAGCCTAGCTCACAGCAACCTCAAACTCCTGGGCTCAAGCAATCCTACTACTTCAGCCTCCCTAGTACCTGGGACTATAGGCATGCACCACCATGCCAGCTAATTTTTTCTGTATATTTTTAATTGACCAATTAATTTCTTTCTATTTTTTTTTAGTACAAGCGGGGTCTCGCTCTTGCTCAGGCTAGTCTCGAACTCCTGACCTTGAGTGATCCTCCCACCTCGGCCTCCCAGAATGCTAGGATTACACGTGTGAGCCACC